AAGTCTTTAGGAAAGCTTAACCATGTGCCAGCCAGCAACAAAACGGATAGCTTTAGCATTCTTGATGTATTTTATGTCAAAATTAAATTCTTGAATGAAAGAAATTGTTCCGAAAAGAGATATCTGATCAAGTTATCGTACAAAATCGGCGGCTGCAGATTGTACACAAGCTGTAAACGATGATGAAAGGTGTCAGAGTTTCGCGCTGGTTTTTTTCCAATACTTGTACACATTACTCGGCAATATCGATGCCATAACAACCTACTTCAAACCACCTGACTTCACAAATCGACAAATATTCATGCCGTTATGTGGCTACGGCAAAGAAACCTTTCTCCAAATTTAGAGCTACCACTGACATATTTCCATCGGTCGCTGTACGTACATACGTTACATGCGACAACTTCGCAAATGCAGCAACGTCGTTACCGCAACATTTCTTGATCATGATGAAGTCCAGAAAACAGATCTTAAAGCATTGCAGCTTGTAAAAAGTGAATGTAGTCCTCCATTACAACAGCTGCCAGTTTTGTCTGTAAGCACGAAATGTTTACGGATCGACTCAACAAAATACAGCTGCGTAGAGTATAATGTTCAGTTTTCTACCTCTGTAGTAAACAAACTTCATTGTACCTTGGCATGAATATGTGTTGACTTTTCCTGATAAACAGCGTTCATAAGTTATCATGTAATGAGTGCAAAAACTCGTGTTTTGAAGTGCTGCTGTTTGTTGTTTGACTGAACTGAGTTTTGAGAAAGTTCGGCGCTTTTAAATCGTGAGTCATGATTGGCTTATGGTGACTTTAGAGAGAATACATGGCTTGATCACGGTACCAAAACCACATTTTTTTCGTAAAAGGCTCCGTTCTAATAAACGTTATTTTATAAAAGTAATAGACCACACTTTCTATGGGTTTACCGGCGTGATAACCCACTTGGGATGTTGGGAGAACACGAGAAAAGCTTGTAAATCACGAGCCGAAGGCATTTAAGTGAAAGAGCCGTTTCTTGTAGGGGATCTGAAGGAAGCTGTATAGACCATCAGGCCTTAAAATTATAAATGTAAACTGAAAGTGTACTTGAGCATATGTATTTTTTTTTCATCACCAGGAAATGTTTAGTCTTATAAATATTACAGTCTCGTTTTATGATGTCTTCTTCACTTAGTTGTCGCATAAGTCTATCTCAAGCCACCCACATTTAAATGAATTAAGTACAAAAGTGTGATTTTTTTATTATTTCTGCTTTCTGAAACGAAAAGCAACATGAAGCAAATGTCTTATGTATCTTTAAATTAGGGAAAAAATCTTGAAGAACATGCGCGGATCCAGGGGTGGGGCCAAAGGGGCCGTGGCCCACAATTTTTCTGCAAAATTTTGTATTATTATTTTTTAAGAATTCTAAGTAAATAAAAAGTATCTATACAACCAGTACGTTTCCCACCCTTCCATTTTTAATTTCCTCTTTCGATGAAGCAGATAAGGTGAAGTTGATGTTATCCTGGAACTAGATACCTCCTTCAGTTCGGAAAATGGATAGTTAGGTTGTGTCAGTAAACCACATCACATTCAGCTTGCAGTTTTATAGAAGTGGAAAGAAAAAATGCTCTGCTTCAATTATCTCTTCATTAAACTACTTATCCTATACCTTTATACAACCGTTAATTACTCGGTAGAGTTCACAGATTTTATTCGCAACCTTGTATGTCCCCAGGGACGCCAAAAGCGTCGAGGCTCAAAAACACCTTTTCGTATCTTTAACTCGTTTCCCTTTTAACGCACAAAATTGAATCTTTGGTCACTTATTGCTGCCATGTTTGACTTTAATTTGATTTAATGATTTTTGTTTTCTCTTAAAAAATTATGGGAATATCACTTATTGGAACCTTAGCACAAATAGGGCGCTTTTGTAACGTAACTGATTTGGAGACATGGGTAACAAAAAAAAATCACAAAAAAATAACAAACCATAAAATTTTTACCAACTTTCAATCGTTAGGTACCTAAGTGATTACTTCAACTGCCAGGAAAGTTTCATCACATTTTCGTTAATCAGAGTGCCATAATCGACTTTTTAAACTCTCGATGCAATTAACGGGCTTTTTGCGAATCCTGAAACCTTTCATCGACATGAAAAGTCATCCACGTACACGGCAGATTTTTTTGAGCGCAAATATCTCCAATTTAAAAGGCTGTGGTAGTCGAGAGAATCGTGTAGCATATAAATGGTAAGGTATAAGCTACAATTTGCCGAAGAAATTGTTTTAAAAACTTTTAAAAAAGTGCTTACCGCGATATAGGGCACTTTTGTAACCTCTCGGCTACATTTTGGTGGCCTATTTTATGCATTGTTAATGTAAGGACTTGCGATTCTCTGTGAATAATACTCAGTAAAGGAGGCATGTCCTAGGTAGGTTTTATGGTTTACCACGCTTCTGCTGCGTAGATATTGGTAAAAGAGAAAGATGTTACCGAAGTTCCCTACTTTGCTTATGGAGAGAGAGAGAGAGAAAAAAAAAAGACAAAAGACAAAAACGGATTAGAAATAAAGTAAAAATTCAAAAGTGAAATTAATCATTCACCTGAAGTTGTCTCCATTTACTGTCTCTCCACATTTCATAATGATGCTGTTCTCTGTTCTCCCATCCGTCTCCATCAACCCGTTTCATGATACTTCGTACATCAAAAGACTCCCCTGAGGCCTCCTTGAGCCACAATTCCAAGGCTCTGTCCCACTTGTAGTAAATAAATCTGTCTCTTGACTTCCCCTTCTGCACCTGCCTCCAGTCATCAAAATCTACCATTTCCTCACCTGTCATTGCTGCACGGTAGAACCCTCTTGGAATAATTCTACCTTTTTCCTTCTTTAAATTATGCAGATAAAACTCGGATATGGGATTCAGGCCTTGGAATACATTCCTTCCTTCCCCAGAGTAAACCATTTGTAGAGACGAAACGTATGAAGCAAAATGTATTACCACTCAGAATATGGAAACAAGTTAATTCAATACAAACACTAGAGATTATAAAAATAAAGTTTGGCTGAATTTCTTTGATTGAGAAACAGCATATAGCTTCTAACTGCTTAAAGTATTTTCAGAATATAAAATTCTTCCCTTTGCTCGCGAGAATTTGTTGTCCTGTTCGAGTCCATAACTATCATTAACCTCTTTCATACTGTTTATCAACACTTTGGAACGATTTTGAGTCTTCATTACTCCCATTAATGTCAAATGGATTAACAAAAAGGTCTACTAAACTTTACTTCAGGCTATGAAAGGACTAAAGAATTTAAAAAAAAATGAGAAGTTGTGTGTGGATATGGAAAGGGTTAAATAGTAGTACAATATTCAAATGAAAGTATTTAAAGCTGCATGGTAATGATTCATAGTACATGTTCTAGATTACACAACTACAACATCTCCAAATCACTATCGATAATAAGAAATAATAAATACAAAATTTTTACATCATTATGGGCATCTTGGGCGGGTTGGAGCAGATCACGCAGGACATAATCATCATCATCTGGTTCATTGACTATAAAAAAGTGGAAACGTTTGTTCAAGCATATAATAAAAACAAGTGAATTTGGTTGTAGTACTCTGGTGAACTAATGAAAATCACTACTATTAATTAGCACATACCCTGAATTGTACTATGATCACATGGATGAATGACGTATTTTCTTCAGCAAGATTTGACTGAAGGTCATCTTCTGTTTGCTAATTTTGGTACGACAAAGTTTATGTTAGAACCCTAAGGCAGTACCAACAAACAGCTGTTGACAGATTCATAATGTCTTATTTATAATGGATGGTATTCATAATGGTATGACATGTATACTAAGATTTGAAGGTCATCTTAGTTTCACATTATGAATAAACAAATTCTAGACATTTCAACTGCAATGTGCCCGTCTCCCAACAAGTTCCATTTATTTTCCTGGGTGGCTAATATAATATTAATCTATTAACAAATTACGTAGAATATGTTCCCCATTGGAAAAGTCAATGTCATTGTCAATTGGTTCAAGACCTAATGGGGAAAGTGGAGGGGGAAGATGGAAAGGATCATCTTCCATGTCTTCAGTGTCATGCACAGAATCTCCTGTGGCATTACTATCAGGCATAACCACACCAACACCAGAGCAAACCGCCCCAGTCGTTTCTTCAAACATTAATGGACTCATCCCTTTTCTGCATTCCTTGCTTCCAAAATCACTTGTACTTGAACCATTGTCCTCATCTCCTGATACATGTGTCCAGGTTCTCCATCCACAGAATGGAAAGAATCGTGATTATCAGGAAATTTATTACTACAATCATGCCATGGACGCCCATTTATGATGATTTTTGCAAATGAACTTCGTAGGAATGGCATATCTCTGACACCAAACTTCATTTCTATGTTGTTTACATATGCACTAATAAAACCAAGCATAAAGACACCACAGTCGCTGGTGTTCCGACCTTGGGAAGGCATTTTTCCCTCTCTTCATGACTCAATCTTTGGAAAGAAGAAATGTCAATGTTTGCCGTTTTGAACCAATTGCATAGGACCTGGAAAACATAATCACTTTCCCGGTTTTTGCAAAGGGAGTCATATTCCCAATATAATTTCATTGGCTTGTCTATCAACACACACCACCAGTGGCCAGGACAATGAATGGGAAAAATCAACTATGAAACGTTTGAATATCACAGTCAGGCATTTTCCCAAGGCCGTCTTTGGAACAGCGATTTAGCCAAAATGTGCTTGCCACATAAACAGTCTTTTTTTGACCCATCGAAAAGGAGCTAATGTAATATACCACCACATGATTATGAAGGTTACCTGGCTTGAGGGTACGAAGGTCTTTTGCCTTAACCTGTCCATGCAGCGAGGAAATGATGACATCATCAGCTACTTTACTACTGGAATCCCACGCTTCGTCCAAAGTGCAATGAAAATCTGCCTGCACTTCAACTTCCGGTAAGTCATCCAGTTGCACTGGATTGCCTAAATTCCAGGTCCTTGAAGGTTAACAGCAGCAAAGTCTGGGTTCTGAGAGTCTTCGCTCTGAATGAAACCAAGGCCGTCTCTGATGGACATTTGAACAGCAGATGTCCGCCGGCTATCAAGAAATACAATTGAGTCTTGCTTGAAGAGCACCGTTACAAAATGATACTTCTGTGTCCTCACAATAAGTGCTGGTTTCTCATCCGTCCTGAACAATCCCAGAACAAGGGAGTAAAATTCATGTAGACTGCTAAGATCAAGGGATTGAATTACTGCTCCATCGACTAGTGCTTTTAAGGGAACATCTACTCTTTGGAACGTATAGTTCTTACGGTTTGCTGCCTCTTCCATTGCTAAAATGCTGTAATCTCCGTCAAGGCAGCTCATAGGCTCTGATGGTGCGGAAAACCCACTGCTAATTTCACAAATCTGTTTTAAGCACATTACATCTGCTGCCAAATCAAGATCACACCCATCAAACACGGGAGGCCCATGATTGGAAATCCCTATTGCATTGTTCATTGCACAAAGTCCATAAAAAAAGCTGTATCCTTGAACTTGCATGGGATGTTCCTGATTGCAATTTTGGCCAGATATGTGCACTTGACCCTGTATACCCTTATTGCATGCTTCTTAACTATTTTCAGAAAGTAGCATAAGTTTCTTCTTTCTGTGGCATCGTCCTGAGAAGTTTTGCTGTCTGCAAGATAAACCCTTAGTGGCATAACAAACTCAGCCAGTTCACCACCTTGTACATTGATACTTTCTAGGTGTTGAAGGCATTCAGCCTTTAACTCCAAAAGAGTAAGCTGCTGTTTTTGGTGGCACCAGAGAACGTTAGCAGATGATATCAAGGGCGGCTGATCAGGAATGGAGAGATTTCCTTTCTGATTGCCTTGGGAGCTATTACATCCCTTGGTTCCAGCCCCTGCACTAGCATCATTGAACTGTTCATGTCCTGAATTGCCTTTCCCTGTTCCAGCAGTGACATCCTGCATTGTAGCAGAGCTGCTACTCACTCCAGATGCTTGACTGCTTGATGTAGGAGTCGCTTTGTGGATGTTAAGGAGGCATTCATTACACTCCCATCTGGCAATTCAATGTGACCATCTTTTCTTTGACAGAAGAGCCAACAGTTTACGGCCATTTGAAGCACAAGATTCTGGCAACAGAGATGGAAGCAGGGGGCTTGTTTTGGTTCTTCAACACATGACAGGCAGTCAGAGTGTTCCTCGTAGCTGGTCAGGTGGCTTAGAAATGAACTTCCAAGATTCTGCTTTCTCTCCCTCCCCCAATAGATGGTGCCATAGAGAAAATACCGAAAACCAGAGACCTGTAATTTTTGTAGACCGAGAACAAACTTCTGGTGAAGTGCATCCCTTCTCTTTCTCTTTGCCAGAAAACGATGACACCATTACCAGTAGTCCATAATCCAGAACCTGGCAATAACTCTTAAATAAATCATCAATACTGCCACAGGAAACACCTTTTGCTGATCTTAGACCCTTATCTTACATCTCCTTCCGCACAGTTAGGCCAAAGTCAGAAAAAAAGTTGTGAAGGTTAAGCAGGGAGAGCTTTGGGGATGTTTCAGGAAGGGGAAGCACATCCTGCTTTTCCTTGAACAGAACCATCTGACCACTAAAAATGGATTTTGTAATTAACTGCCCTTCACATTCCACCTTGTACATTCCACCAGGAAGCACCTCCTTGATGTTTCCCACAACATTAAGGGGCTGAAAGGGAACAGGCTTTGAAAAATGCAACCCTTCAGAACACGGATTTTGGAAGAGAACTTTGTCGCCTACCTTAAATTCACGCTCCTTGGCCCTTTTTAGAGACCGTTTGTGATTTTTTTGAATTGTGTGTTCTGTTGCTTCGAGTACATTGATCATCATAGACTGGTATTCTTCACTCAAGTTGAAGAGGTATTTCATGACGCTTTCTGTATTGAATTCACCTGTAGCATCAGCTTCCTGAGCTGATGAGTTGCTGGAACCCTCCTTAAGATGAAGAAGTCCAGTGTACTTCCGCTATGTTCTTGACCGCTGGCAAGAACTCTTTTGCTGAAGCCCCGAGAGAGGATGATAATATGGATGCAGAGGAAATTTGAACAGTGGAATTTGCTAACTCTGCCAGTTTAGATCTATCCATAAAAGGGCTTTGTCCATTTTCCTCGAACTCGGCAAAGTCTTCCAATGAAAATTCAGTCTTAAAGACAACCCATCCTCAATACCTTCAATCCACAAAGTGCCGTCTGGTATGACGTAGTTCACAAGGCAGGATGGCTCACGGTTCTTGTAAATTCGAAATGGCACATCATTTATAGTGCTATGGCACTTGGAATTTAAGAGATCTGCAACAGCTGATGGTAGCAAAGGCCAGACATTAGCTTGAAGATCTCCGGGCCATCGCTGTAAAAATCTTGCCAGCAACCTCTTCACCTGCTTGTTGAGGTTTTCTATCTGACCTTGTGACTGTGGGTGGTATGGCCTCACATTGATAATACAGCTTATGATTTATTACGTAAACTACCTCTCCATAATATGTGCATCTGAGAGGACCTGTTCTCCTGTTCTCCTTGCTGCTTGGTGTCACTTTCACTTTTTACAGCTAGAGAGGATGTCTCTGACTTGTATTTACATGTCATAGAAAACCCTGAGTTAACTATCTTAGAGCATGAGGTGTATATTAAGTACGTTGTCAGAAGTTTCATTTAGCTCCACTCTCTAATTCTGATTTTTGGTCCTGTAGTTCTCAGTTTTCAGATACTAATTTCAATTCAGATGGCCACTTATTTTTCACTTCAGTTTGCAATTAGTAACAGTTAACTTAATTGAAGCTTGCTACCCCCCCCAAAAAAGTGCTGTTAGCAAGTGTGCATATATAACTTTTAACACCTCCTCACAGAGCCAAAACCACGATTTTGTGTATGTATTAAAATGCAAGTTCACGCCCCAAGACTTAATTGTAGAAACAGATTCAAATAAGTGTTTATTTACATTTTTAACTCTCATACTTCTCTTTCTGACCTCAGTTCTTTTATACAGTCTGTTACATGTTAGAGACAACTTGTTTAAAGTTAACATTAAAATGATTGTTAAAGTGCTACTACGACGAAAATTTTTGTTTTTGTTTCCGAGTTTTTTTAACATAAATCTTTTGTATATGTTCAAAATTATACAAATAGCGAAAAATTGGAACGATACTTGCGTACGGGGGCTGGAAATTTCCCACTGAAAAGTGCGTAAATACCGTCCGCCATTACAAAGTTCGCAAAGCAATAGCCCGCGAGATCTCCGCAAAGCGGTCGTGCGTTTGACCACGTGATTTATGCACTGTGACGTAGAAACATCAACCAAAAGATTCGCATTTGGGAAAAGTTTGTGAGTTTAGAGCCTTTTAACAAGACGTTTAAGATGTCATCTCCGTCGGATTCCTCTTCCTGCACATCTGAAAGTGATCTAGAACGTTTTACAGTTGACGAAGTGATGGGGGAATTGTCTGAATTTGCGCCGTACGACGACAGTTGCGAACCCCTTGCTACCGAGGAAGAAGCCGCGGACTACAACCTGCAACGAAAGAGTTCATCGCGAAGAAGAAGAGGAACAACAGTTTCAGCGAAGATATTTGGGAGAGGTGCCAGCGAATGAATGGTATGGTATTATCATGGAATGCAGATTTATATTTTTATTTTCCAATTTCAACATACCCGTCGTTAAATCGTGCGCGTGAGGAACGCGACTGTGTCTTTTGTTTAAGTTTACAATTTCGTTGCTATGTGATTAACTGTAGTCCTGATTTTATACGATAGTTTTATTGAAGAGGTCAGACAATTAATAATTTTATACAGACGTATTTTTCTTGTGTTTGACGAATTTTTCACATCATTTTGCAGGTGTTCGTGCTCGAACTGCTCTGTCAGCCTTGTTACAAAAGCGGAGGAGTGCATTTGTGGAAAGAGATCGATCGCTGCGAAGAGGTCATGGAAGAAGCCATTGGAGACCGGACCTTATGCATAACCCTCCATCCAGGGTTTGAAAGCGTCTGCTTAAACCGCCACGTATTAGAAGTGGCTGCACTGGGCCTAAAAACGCGAGCTGGAAAGTCGTACACAACTGTTCGTGGGCAAAGCAACAAAAGTGATAATGAGTAAGTTGGGGTATTGTTGACTTTGTATCGGAACGATCGAACCGTACATAGCATTGAATAATTGATACATCTAAGCTTATCGCCGTGGACTGATCTCATAGAATGACATTTTTTATTTTCTAAATGGCTTTATTGCCCCAACTGCTTATTTTTAAAAGGAGTATTTATTTATCTCCATCCAATCCCTCCCTGAATTAACAGTGATCTCATTTCTCTAACTAGATTCCTGAGGTCTGTGGCCTATCGCCAATTTACAAGACTGCTGTGGAGTTATATTGGTAGTTCCAGGCGATACCCCTTGCCCTGTTGTGCCTACAATAAAATCAGGAAACAATTTCCGAGTCAAAATGGCCATTATCGTGGATTTGAAGATGAAGAAAATGAATAATAAATGCACTGTTTGTTCTTGAAGAGTGTCATGTATGCCATTGGGGCCAAGAAGGACCTACAGTAGTTGCGTGAATACTTGTCCGTAAACACTTAATTTTATGGGCCAAACTTCAGAATTCTCAGCCACTTACTCGCTTTTTGTTGAATGACAAACTTGCCCACTGTGTGAAGCCCTGTTCTTCTAGCGTTCGGTTAAACTCAAGTTTAGTGGCTGGGAATTCTGATGTTGCTCCAATTTTCATGTACACAAGTAATAAAAATTAAATCGAATTCAGCCTGAATTTAATTACAGTTTTAATGTATCGTTTCTTTCTTTTCACTCGGCTCACAGAGCACTGCAAAACTTAATAGCAGGTTACCTGCTGGAAACTTTCCTAGCAGGTCTGGTTGACTCTTCCAGACTTTTGTCTGGCTACAGTTTCTGCAGAAACTTTCTACGGTAAACAAGGTACCTGTCTGTGATACAGAAAGTTTGGGTTTTGAAAAGAAGCACAAGTGGCAGAACTGAAACAAAAGAAGAAGTTTGGAAAGGAAAACAATTCCCTTTGGATCCTCTCGAGTGTTTTTTCCTTGTAGATCCAACCTGTAAAAAATGATTGAAAGGAAATACTCGTTTAATCATAGCATCTGAAATAATAAAATAACAATAAAAAAAATGATTATCATTTTTGTTGTTTTTCTCAGGGTGTTGCCAGTTTTTCAACTTGTTGTAAACCTGGCTAATCGTGGGTTGGGATTTTACTCTCACATACATCCTGAAAAATGCTTTTTTATAATAATTCTGTTGATTGCACACATGACAACTTTGAGCCCTTAAGCTATCTAGCCCACCCCAATGATGCATAATTTATTACAAGTGGTTGAGTGGACAAACCAAACATTTTTAGGCCTGGGACTTCCAGTCTATGGGCTGGCTATGCCTCTTCTTTTTTTTTTTTTTTGCAATTCTTATCTGAGTAAATTAAAAAACAAATTTCATGTACTCTTGTTTCTAAATAGATCCTCTCATAATGGAAGTTAGT